TTTGCGCTCGCAAACTGGAATTTTGCGCGAGGGGCTGAACCATCGTTTGCGGGTGATTTAACAAGAGTGATTGCGTAACTGGTGGAAGGTGCAAAACTGTTGGAGACGCCCTATTTAAATGATTGTTTTGCGCGTTTTGTGGTTTGCGGCAAAGTAGTTTGTAGTCTGTACAAACTAGTGCATTAAGAAATTTAAATCTTACAGTGACCCCCAACAAAAAAAATAAATAAGTAAATATATATATATATATATATATATATATATATATATATATATATATATATATATATATATATATATATATATATTTATAAATTGGCAACCTTTATTCCCTAAGGTGGTATGTGCTGCAGTAAAAAAAAAAAAACAAAAAAAAAAACAGGTGTTTTGTATTGGCCTGTGACTGTGGATGAGATCCCCGCAGCATTTGGCACGTTGCTCCACAGGCGCAGGTGGAGAACCCCGACCCCGTCGGACAGCACTTCTGAAAAAACGAGATTGGGAGATCCCAGCTCACGCTGCAACTGTACGCTAGAATGACCCAGATGCAAAAAAGTGCAATGTTGCAAGGAGTTTTGCGATATCTGGTATTGCGTGGGTCCTCCTTGTGGCTGGCTCCAAATCCATTCGGAGTTCCCCCAACAGCTCCAAAATGGCAATGCTGGATAAACTATATGTTTTGATGATTGTTTCCTCGTTCATTGCAAAAATATTCACACGGAGTGAAAAAATGCGTTCTCTGCGTCTCCTTGCTTCATTTCGATGTCTCCTTCTTGCGACAATAACCGCTGCCATGTGTGCGCAATTACGCATACAGACCATTTGCACCTTCTTTTGAAACGTGTTAAATATAGAGTCAGATACCGTTAGCAAAATTGCGTTCAAGTTTGATAAATCACTTTGCGAGTGCTAAATTAATATATTTACATGTTCTCCTCCCACAAGACGCACTTTAGCGTGTAAACGCCCCATATTGCATATTCATTGCAGAAAAAGTACTAAATGGATCAGAGGCGCTATTTAGCACGTTTTAAAGACCAAATCCTTTTAGCACGCTGTTGATAGATCAGTTTGTACATTTTTTAGCGTGCGCAGTGAAATAGCTCACGTTTTAATACACGCAAACCTTTGATAGATCCGGCCCTAACAGTTACGATTAGTCAGGCCTGAAACTGTTCAGTGGGCACATCCACGAATAAATTGCTTTTATTGTTGTCTGCCATGGCAGAAAGGTTCAGATTTATTTCTTTAAAGGCACACTATGCAACATTTTTCAGTTAATTAATGTGTTCCATAACGTTTTGGATGATTAAATGAGTCATTTCAGGTTGAACAAAGGTATTCTTGGCCGCCCTGGTGGTCTGTGGGGGAAATACTGCACTTGCAATTGCAGGAGCACCGACCCGCACCCACAGGCTCAGAAGTCTCGTGAGAGCCAGTCTTGCTTTACGGCGAGAACTGCTACACCCCCCAGTTAAAAGCATTCTCGTTGCTAGCACAGTGGCGATCCTTGTGCAGTTATGCTACGTTCACGCAGCAAAAGCAGCAAAATCGCGTCTGCTGCTTCATTTTTGCTGCTTGTACCAGTTAGTTCTGACGCGCGTCTGAAGCAGCTTTGCTGCTCTGGCTGTGCGGTGCAAAAGTGTGTCTGACGCGCGTTGTGCGGTGCTTCACTATCCTTTCTCTGCCTTGCAGCTATATTTGCTGTGATCAGTTGGAATAAAGTAGTTTTAATATGTGTTTAAATGAGAAAATACACCTGAAAACGTAATCAGTGCCGTCAGTTCATTCAGATTATTATCCTGCCTTCAATATTTTTTCTGTCGGAGCCGCTCAGACCCCCACATACCAGCGGTGTGCCGACAGAAGGAATCCCTTCATCAGCAGCCTCTGGCCGGGTCGCCTCCTCGCGGTTCACCGCAGCAGCTGGTAGGTGTTTTTGATCTAAATAATCCAAACTGCATATTCTGCCGGCAGATTTCTGCATTTTAAGTTAATTTAGGCGTCAATAAACTGTTTAAGAGGAGAGATCATAGCCTCTGATCATCAGCGCTGTGTCTCTCTCCCTGCTTCAGCTGCTCAGACGCGCTGGGCCTGCTGCTCAAAACGCGCCGCGGGACCTTTTGCTGCGCCTTGACGCGCGTCAACCATTGACTTTGCATGTAAACTCGCTGCTTCTGTCGCGCCAGCTGCGGTGTGAACGCAGCATTAGTCATTCGTTGCGTTCGCCTGTCTGCTAAGCTCAAAACAACCGCGCCTGGCTTGACGGAGAAACCAGGAGAACAGCTGTGCATATTTACGACAGTGCACTTTTACTTTCGCCCTCTGAGGGGAGCCTCGCTGGAAAATCAACACCGGTTGCATAGTGTAACTTTAAAAGCAGGATGTTGTAAATGAGTAACGCCGACTATGAAATCCTGAATCCTGGTTAGAACCACAGGTGGGCGGCAGCAAAAATCCAGTTGTGAAATGGGTTTATACTAAGATATAGACTCATTGCTTCTAAAATATCTCTATTCTATGCTATCTATTTCATTTGTAATATAGATCTCTTTAGACAACTATATACGTCAGTGGCTCATTGCAAACAAATTGAAAATGTTGTTTTTCAAAACACAAGGTAAAAACTTTTAACAAGAAATTTTTATTTAGAAAAAAATCACATTCTTAGTTCTGTCACTTCAATCTATCCTCTTTAATTTCCTTATCTTTCTCACCTTTACATTCCACGAAAAACCCACTCTTTACACACATCTCTTTAAAAAAAAAAAATCTTAGTAAACTGTGTAATAAACTCTCTCTTTTGCTATTATATTCATTTTGTAAAGCACCTCACAGAAATTATCTTTGTTGCAAGACATTTTTAATTGGGTTACAGTATTATATTTAAAGCAAAGAAAAAAAAAAAAGAAACATGAAGAACTATGATGTTGGGCGGTGGTGGGGGTTGTGTGATGGGTGGTGGTGGGGGGGGTGGGGGGGATTTGAAGCTAATATAAATAACGTAATTCAGTTTCTTAGTTCAGCTGTCGGCTCCCAGAGGGGTTGCATAATTGCAGACCAGTCAGGGTGCCATGTCGTTTGTCACTAAAACAGCTAATAATGAACACATGACCATCTGAGCCAGAGCCTGGAGCAAAGGAAGATGCTGGCTTTAGCTGATGAATTATGTTTTCTTATACTACTCATGCAATGCATCAATCTTTTCAGAAACCGTATGTATCAAATATGATACATTTGGCCTTACAGGGTTAACAGCTAGAATGCCAAAGGTCTGCAATGCTGCAATTGCTGCAAATGGAGGATTCTTTGACGAAAGCAAAGGTTGATGTAAAAAAATAAATAAATATTTTTTCAAATACAAATCATTATTTCTAACCTTGTCAATGTCTTGACTCTATTTTCTATTCATTTCACAACGTACGGTGGTGAATAAGTGTGACTTTTCAGGAAAACACAAAATTGTTTTGGTGACCCTAAACTTTTGAACGGTAGTGTATATATATATATATATATATATATATATATATATATATATATAAAAATAAACACAAAAAAAAACAACTGTCACAGGTGGACGCACTTTATATGCTGCATATATCCTATGCATCTTTTTCGTCCTTCTTCCACTTTAACTATTTGAGCTGATGTAAAAAGCAAATTTCTCCACTGTGGGATCAAGGAAGTCAATCAATCAATCAATACATATATAACGTTATTACAGTTATAAAACACAGCTTTTGGTGTCGTCTTCTCTTTAGTGAAAAGAGAGAAAGTCGGGTACAGTGTATAATTAGATCATCATGTAGCCAGAGGAGCTGAGAATATAAAGTCTATACTAATTTAGAGCCTTTTTAAGGTACGGCTCTCCAAAACACTTTTCATACATTCAGTTTTACTCCCACTGGGACCCAGGGCACCACCAGGCCCTCTGACCATCAGTAGGGTGGAGTGAGGGTGAAGTGCTTTGCCCAATGACACAACAAATAAGACGGAAGGAGTTTGGGTTTTATACCAGCAAAACCTCTGCTTGCAGGACAAATTAATGCTTCCCATACTGTACTAAATCACACAAATGATTCTGCTTCTTTACACCCCGCACATTCTCTGTTCAAATGCTAGTTGTGGACGGAGAGGACTGTGCCGTTTAAGTGAGGGTTACTTCTGTGCACAATCAGTGCAGTTGTTCATGCTGCAGTGGCTGACTGCTACTGTAGATACAATAATACCTTAAAGTTCCCATATTTTGCAAAATTCACACTAGAAACACTCTGACTTACTTGACTTGACTTACTCACGGTAAGTCCTGTAGCCTGTGTATAAGCTTCATAAATAAGAAACACTCTTCCACCTCTATCATTTCTCCACCTCTTTTACATAATATGTGTTTAAACTGTTTTGCTTAAAAAATATTCCCCTTGTGATTTCATGAGGGGAAATAAGCTGTCCTTAGCAGTCTGTAGCAGCCCATCAGTCATGCTATGTCCTTCATCTTCATGTATTATTCCATGCTCCTTCTGTATCTTTATTAACTCTGACTAGTTGTCATGGTTGCGGGTTGAGGGGGCATGACCTTCTGGAGGGTGGGGGAGTAAAAAACCAAAACAGCTCGTTTAGAACAGGGCTAAATGTATAGATTTTTGGTACAGGCTGTCTACCTAATCCATAAAGAATTTTCCTGCACAAAACATACTCATTGCTATTTTTTAAATCTTGTTTTCAAATGTAAAACTATATTGACCTTTAAATGAAATATTGATTCAACTCAAGTCGAGTCCACAATTCAAGTGCATTTTTCAGGCTTTGGTTGGATCAAGCTTTATGTTCCAGGGATGAGGATGGGAGCCTGTTCTATACAGTATGTGCTGTGACCAAAATGCAGATGTATGTTTATTAAAGTAGGTCTAATACCTAGAAAGAGAAAGAGCTTAACTCATTGATTTTCTTTCATAAAGATAGGCCAACAAATGATCCACACTGAAATACATATAATCACTGACCCTCCGTGACTGGATCTCTTTGACATATAAGGGCAACAAGAATTCGGACACCCCCTCCAGACGGATTCCTTCTTTGTTCACTCGTAGGTTTCCCATACCATTCTGAAAAAGAAAGAAAGAGAATGAGAAAATCAAGATTATATCTTTTTGAATATATTTACTTTTCACAGATTTTATTCATAAGATGGTTACCTGGTTTCCTTAGCTGATATATATTTTAAATATTCGATTCTTCTTTCTAATACATGGCACAACAGTTTGTCATAAAAAGATGGATGGTATATTCCAGCTGTGGACATATGATACTTTTGATTGTAGTATTTCCACTCAGTAACACAATAATTGATTCAGAACTCCAACTTGGAGACGACTGACTCTGAATGGTGGGTTTGGTTTAATTAGATATTTATCAAGATTTTAATTTCTACTTAAGAAATAAGAAAGAAAAAGGTTAACTAAATTAAAAGAGAAAAGATGAACCAGGAAAAGATAATAGCTTGAATCAACTGTCACCAGATAAGTCTCTTCCAACAATGGTCATGCAGTAGACATTTAACATTAACATTGTGAAATGAAAGCTTTAGTCAGAACAGAACCTTGTGGTGTTAAAATTTGCATCAAAAATCCATACAGGGTTATATTAATTAATGAATGAATCTTTTTCTTATCTTTATCAGCACTTACGCTGCAGCAGCACAGGCACAATTAGGCTCTTTTGATTTGTATCAACTGTAAATCAAATCTTAGATTTTGTGGTTTGAAACCAGTTTTCAATGTTTGCCCCCATTTCAAATTCTGTTGTTGGCAATATTATATTTACATACAATATTGACAGGTATTGAGTTGTAATAATAAAATATATGACTTATCAAATATATTGTATGTGTTGAAGGACCAAAAGTAACTTTTTTTTTAATCATTGGTACGATATATAAGATTAAGTTTAATAAAATTTTGTGAAGGCACCATAACACTAAAGGAAAACAAAACATAAAACAAGTATATATCGCATAGATTACACAACTTTTGTTCAATCGCTGTCCTCTGAAGTTCTAGCATTTAAGATTTAGGTTATGTTCGTAACATAACAGAAGCGTTTCTAATAAATCGGTTTGCTCAGTAGGATAAAAGCAGCTTTGTGCCGGTTTGTGAGCAGTTATACCACATTTTACAGATTCCACATGAGTGATTGCTCAAGAGATTGTTGGATCACACTTACACGGTAAGATGAAATTCCTTTAAAACAGCCATGTAGAGAATTATAATAGTCAGGGATTTGACACAGTGGCAGCTACTGTACCATGTCAGATCTCTACTTCTGAAAGTCACAGAGCAGGAGGCACACTGAGAACTGATATGAAATGGCTGTCTTATCCTTGTTTGGTAAAACTCATGTGGGCTGAAGTGGACATCATGAAAATGAATAAAACACAAACTAACTTTGAAAGAAAAAACTGATTAAATATAGACAGAAATAATAGGGGTGTTGTTAGTTTAAACACCAAAATCTAGTTCTGAACATTTATATCACGTTACACTGTTGCTTACATCCAGTACTTAGAAGGTGTGATATCACGTGGTGGAATAGGGATTCAATGCATTAAATCAGTATTCACCCTGAAATAGTTAAAGAAAATGACAAGGGTACAAAATGTTGGTAGAGCTGGTGAGCAGGTGAAATGAATGGCATGGTAAAGTGGCAGAGAAAACAGGAATGACAACAGCTGAACTTTGACTGATTATACTGACAAGAAAAGAAAAAAATTTAACAAAAATAACAACTGAACTAAAGTAAAACTACCAGAGACATCTCAACAAAGGAAACATAAGATTTTATCACTAAACAATGACAATTAAGAAGCACGATCTAACTCTTACGACATGATGAAAAAATGATCTATTCATCTTCCTAACCCCAAATAATAAAACTAATAATATGATATAGCACCACCAAACACACTGGTCTTTATTTCCAAGTTTGAAGATGTTTCGCTTCCTATCCATTAAGCATTTTCAATTCAAAATGTCTGGAATAGCGTTAAGTTCAAGGTTTTATACAGTAGCCCAACAGTATAAAACCTCCAACTCAATGCTATTCCTGACATTTTGAACATTTTGAAAACTCTTCCTGGATGGGAAGAGAAACATCTTCAAACTGGAAATTAAGTCCAGTGCATTGTTTATAATTTTATTTTTTTGGAATTGTTGGGATCCTCAGGCTTGCCCACCTGAGGGCGCCGAGGATCCTCTTCTGCTCTTTGTCTTTTTCTCTTAGGGCTGGAGTTTCTGTTAGGTTCTGGAGATTACCCTCTGCCTCCAGCAGAGTGCGCCGTGGGTCCTCCTGAGCTGAGCCTCCCACACACCTGTGGCTGATCTACTCATCAGGAGGACCACAGTATTTAAGCTGCCTTCAGACCTTGATTCCACGCCGCAGTGTTGATCTTAGTTGGTTAGCTTCCTGAACCTTCTGCTATAGACTGAGTCTTGGTTGTTCCTAGGTTGAGATCAGATTCTAATCTCTCCTTATCTGTGCCTCACAGGAATCCTGTCTCCTCGTGAAGCTCTGGATGAGCTTAACCACCTGTCTCATCGTGAAGCTCAGGAAGAGCACCCTCACTGGAACCCAGTCTCTGGTCTGCAGCTCTGGAGGAGCTGCACCACAGGAAACCAGTCTCCAGTCTCTTGGAAAGCCTAACCTGCTAATCTGCCCTGGTGAGCCAACCCGAAGATTCCTACGTGGTAGAAACCTGACGACTTCTCTGAGGAGTTTCCCTAGAGGTTCCCATGTGGATTTTCCCCTGTAGTTCCTTGCGGTGAGCTGGAAGCTCAGCCTGAGAAATCCTTCGTGTTTTCCCCTGTTGTTCCCTGCAGTGAGCTGGAAGCTCAAACTCAGGACTGCCAGGCTAAGCCTAGCTTGATGCTTAGCCTCACTTGAACTCAGCTACCATCCATCTCCCTTTCCCTGCACAGACTCCAGTTAACTAGCCCCCTGCCTGAACTGTTCCCTTTTCATGATTCATGTTAGTGCCACAATAAACTCTTTTGGACTTTTTACCAAGTTTCCCGTGTGTGTTCTGCATCTTGGGCTTAACTCTTAGAAACCCATCATGACAGGAATGACTATGACCTGGATGACTGAAAATCTTCACCAGCATACACACCTTCAAATTGAGTATCCGATGTCTGCTAGGATCAAATTTCTCTTTTTAGTTCCTGTTTTTTTTTTTCTTATCACTGCAAGTGTTTATACACCTTTCAGATAGAAGAGATGCAGGAGGTTTGGCAGGGAACAGTCAGGGTTTCGTTACATAGAATAAAGGAAAAGTCTAATTAATATTGTACAGCTTTTTGTATTGTCTATATATTTTTTTATATCCTTTTAAATAGTTTTTACATGATCATGTTAAATCTAATGTACTTTACTGTGAAACATAAAGCTCTATAAGGGAAATTAAAAGCTTTTAATTTCCTTCTCACAACAAATTGGAATTATACAGCATATAATTCTATAGTGCTTTGTACCCAGAGGACATTAAATACCAATAGAAATTCAGCTGTTCTCCGAGGCTTTAAAGGTTTGTTCCTAAATATTTGTTGCAAAGAGAAGTAATATGCATGTCATAGAGCACTGTTCAATAATCCGCTGAAGAACATGATATGACAGAATATGAATCTTTTTGCAAGAATTCTCAACTAAGTAAATAATTAACTTTTAATTTTGGACCTGAGATTCACTTTGCATTTGGATTTTCAGTATGAACCGTTATCTATTGTCTAAATTACTTAAACTGGTTAATAGAGTTAAAGAATAAGGTCGAATTCAGTCCTCTGGATATTACACAGATAGCCAGCCTTCTCCTCCAGTTTACCTTAAACTGCTTGTATTAACTGCAGAGACACAATGCAATATCGGTACAACCGTAAAAAAAAAAAAAGGCCAAAAATATGCAGCCATCCACACCTACTTCACATTTTTAAAGGAAGCCAAAATGACAGTGTCTGATCAATAAAAGGTTTTCTGGTGTTGTAACATCCACAGCCATTACTCCCGCGGTTCTCAAAGTGTGTGGCGCGACCCACTGGTGGGGAATTGAGACGTGACAGGTGGGGCGCGCCAAGTGTGTGTGTGTGTGTGTGTTGTGTGAAATGTAGAACGTGTGAGAGCAAACTGTCCTTATATGGAGAGATATTTGTGCCATCGGTTTGAGCGCGCAGGAACCAATCCGAGCGCGCAGTGAGACAACACGCTTACTAATATATGCATTACATATTACATGCATTACATACATGCATTACATATGCACTAATAATATGCTTACATATTAATGAACTGTAAAACATCTGAACCTGAAAGGGAAAAATTGAGAAGAGTAGTTGAAATGACAGGCCAAGAATGGAGTCTTAAAGGATTATTGGGAAATAAAGGAAATATAAAGGATGTTTATAGATTAAGGAAAGCATTATTTAGTTATCTTCAGAATGCAAAATTAAAAAATAGAATTTAATAGATGTAAAACAATGCTGCTACACACTCATGAACAGTAGGTGGCGGTATGCACCTTAAAGTTGCTTGCGATCCGCCATGATAGAAAAGAAGAAGAAGAAGGAAGGAATGCTTTCATTGGATGAAAAGAAGCTGAGTGTGATTGGCTGATGGTATGGTTCATTTACATACATTGCTGAAGTGGCTAGCGCAGAGAGTCGAGCGAGCGGAGAAACAGCCGAGCGCACAGCTGGTGTTGAGCGCGGAGAGAGAGCAGGTCGAGCGAGCGCGAGCAGAGACGGATTCGAGCACGCGCAGAGATGAAACTGAGCGCGAGAACAGTGTGTTGAGAGGGTTTTTCAGAGTTGAGCGCGCGCCAGATCGGTTTTGCGCGCGCGCGTGTTGTCTCACTGCGCGCTCGGATTGGTTCCTGCGCGCTCAAACCGATGGCACAAATATCTCTCCATATCCTTATAGCTGTATGTTGCCGCTTTTTAGACCAATCAAACCCACAAAGTAATCATTACTAGCCTACATGCAGTCTAATTAAAAGAACATTAGATATGAGAAACATTTCACCTGGAACTGAAGTGCCAAAATAATGATTGACGTGACGTCG